TACTAATACATCTCTGAGCAAATAAATGATGAAAAAATGTTTCATAACTTGAAAGTGCATTGTATTCATTACATTTTCGTTATACAGTAGAAAGGCTATGCTCAGTTCTTATTAGTGGGTTAAGTGTTATTGTCTGTTCGAATACTGATTTAAAACAAATAAAATTGTTTTAATTTTGTAGTCTGCTATTTTGTTGAACGGATGTTAAACTTGCATTGGCATATTCCTGTATATGAGTGGCACCACATTCATTGCCGTCAGATCCGATGAAAAGACATCATTTGACTTTGTTTTGAAACGTATTTCAAATATGCATTTGGTTAATTGATATGACCTTGAAAATGTCTCAATAAAGCGAGTTGATTTCGGACATTAACGTGTAAAAATAGTTCTCGTTCTGTGATATCGTAGAAAAACATGTACGAAAGTTCGAATTTGTTCCATCTTTCATCGTGATAGCACATAGTTTTCAGATGACTAGAAATAGCTGATCAAATAATTTCTTTGTTCAAAGAATCCTAATGACGGCAAGTCAATTTCGATTTACGCTCTCAGATTATTCGTATTCTTACATGTTATACCGATTTTTTAATTGAATACTACTGTCTGTCCACAAATAAAAGGGCCGTGGGTATTCTGGCAATAACTCAAGAACGGAGAGCTACGATTTTTACCAGCCGAAAGAGACGACACCGGGACATCTTTTTCTCTAATACTGTGTAAGACGAAATCATTTTAAAATTCACCGTTTTTATAAAACATCGAAAAAATGTAGAAAAATTATCGGCTGTCGAGACGTAATTTTGACAAAAAAATAGAAAATTTGCTCAAAAATGAATAGAATTTCATATTTTTTGAGGGAGCAAATAGAGAATTTTAATTGCTTAACATTAGAATGTGTGAAGCTATTGATTAGAATTATATCTTCTGTCTAAATCACCTGCCAGAACTAAAATTTCATCAGAATGACAGACCATGTTCATGCATTTTTTGCATTGTTTTTCAGAAATGATTTCGTCTTATAGAATATTGGTGAAAAAGATGCCCCGGTGTCGTCTCTTTCGACTGGTGAAACTGTAGCTCTCTAACTCTTTTCGTTCTTGAGTTGATTCTATTCACAGTACATGACAAACGTATTCAATGGTTACACGATTATTTATCACTCACGGTCTCTATCAGACGAGATGCGTATTTATCGAGATGAATTTCGATTAACAAAACATCTTTCTAAAAAGTTTCAAGTGTCATTTTTGCGCATTACCTTCACTCGAACATGCATACCCTCTTTTCTTTCTTCTTATGTTTCGTCGATTTCTTTTATTCATTCATACCGTTGTCTCGTTTTTGCACACCTGTGTATTGACTTATTCCTATTCCTTTTTCTCTTGCTCGTTGCATACAGCGTCAGCGCACATTCCTGAGCAGGCAAGAAACGGTTATAACTGCGTTTAAACACGTTAAGTTAGAGTTTTTACCGTTTAAAAAGCGTGTGTATTTGTACAATTCGTGGCTGTAACGTGTTTTTTATAGTTTATTTTCAGAACTTTCGATCGTAAACTGTTAAAAATGGTCGTATCCCATTGTTACAAATAAGATGTGTTTTAACGACTTATTTATTTCATCTAAAACTAATGATAAATTAAGTTCGAAATTTTTTATAAATAAATGAGACATATTCGGACTATAGTGTTGTCGAGAAACACCTATCGGTGCTCCTACACGGTGTGCACACCTCGCATTGTATATGTGTACAATGATCTCGGCAATACTCTTTTTTTCTACTATCTGTCCATATCTTTCTTATTTTGTAGATTTAGATGACATTTATTCTACACAGTTGACAAACTTATATACTCGGACAACAACACAATTGAGTAAGAATGCATAAATGTACATTGAATGTGATACGATATTGATTTAAGAGTGAAATTTCAACAGTGAAGTTATAGAGTTGAGAACACAAGTAGAGTTATTTATTTAACATTAGAGTGACAGCATTGTATTGATTTTAGTTAATTTGAGTCAACTTCAATAATCAACTGTGTATGTTCCTCTATATAGGTTTCTTCAATTTTTACGCATATCGACAAGTTTGAAAGTTCTCTAGTTTCACTTTCGTCAGTAGAATCCTGATAAATCCTGGTTATGTGAACTCCTATTCCACGTATGAAAAATGAAAGTTCTCGACAAGATATTGCTATTTGTTCTTAGTGCGATGATACTAATAGTCCAACATGATATTGTCTTACAGGATCAAATTGAGCAAACAACAGTGACATGAACGATCCCCATAGCAAACAATCTTCTCACTTGGATCGTAAAGATCACGACGATCAAGTCAAGTCAACAAATCAGCTGTCCCTTCAAATTACTCAACCAACGTTCTTCCATCCCAACCTATCAGTTCACTTTGGAAACATACTGGAAGTTGATGCAGACTGTATTGTGAACGCAGCCAACGAAGGCTTGCTGGGTGGTGGAGGCATTGATCATCTTATTCACCAGCTTGCAGGTCAGGAACTCACGCAGTTCTGTCTTAAACTACCGGTCGACTCTCAAGGAGTTCGCTGTTCAGTTGGCCATTCTGTGATTACACCTGGCTTCATGTCGAAATATAAATTTATTATTCACACTGTCGGCCCTTATCTTGATGAGCAAGACCGAACACAACCTAAATTACTAGCTGATTGCTACAGGACAGCATTCAAATTAGCAGTAGACCATGACTGCAGAAGTATCGTCTTTCCAGCTATTGCCACCGGGTTCTACGGGTATCCGATGTTGGAAGCCGCGCAGATTGCTATCGAAACCCTCAACTCAATATTGCAACAACAAGAAACAGGCAATTCGATCAATGTGTGTATTGCTGTGTTCAATGATTTGGAACAACAGATTTGGAGAAAACTGCAGAATAAATAAATAAATAAATAAATAGAGAGCTCACAGATTTTCTAGATAATGCACAAACAGGCCATACGATTAGGGAGGGGAAGGGGGGGGGGGAATTTCCCCCTCCTAAAATTTTGGGAGAAAGTCTCCCTGGAAAATTTTTTCATTTTTCTCCAGCGGATTTTCTCTTTGGAAAAAAATTTCGTTTTCTCTCGGCAGATTCTCTTTGGAAAAAAATATTTTTCCCCCCCTTGGCCAAAAACAAACGAAAGCTCTGCTGCACAAAACCTAGTCAGCACCACCACCAATCTCATCATGCACACTATATGAGTGAGTTTATATCGAAATTAGATTCGAGCGATCATACGACGCAGTGTAGCCTTGCTTAAGGACCATCATTAGGTATATTCAAAATCTTTACACTGCATATCGTTTTCAATCAAAAACATATTTCCGCAAGAGAAACAATCTTTCTGTGTCAAGTGGAACAATTCCTCATTTACCATCTAATCAATAATAACATGTTATGAGAGCATGATCCCTGCGTAAGTGAACCTTTTTAATCATGCGAAATATTTTATCATTTCTCATTTGAATCTCTAAATACGATAGTTTCAATTTTTTCGACAGCTGTGGTAAAGTCTGATATTTCCTGAAAGAAAGGTCGATGTCCAGTGCTGAGATTATGAACTGTATAAAAAAATCAATTCTTAATATCAATTTATCCTTCCTTATTCTATTGATAATTGTTATACATATTCTGAAAGAAAACACTGCAAGCTATCTTTCTATATGTCTAACTCAAAATGAACTTTTGACATGAAAATCGATTGCATGAGTAAGTTCTGTACATAAATGTAATAAAGCCAGAATGGGCCCCATTCTTTTTTATTTATTGATGTAGTTACAACTCTTATCAAGCAAGGAGTACGTGCACAAAGAGAAGATATATAGATTATGATTAATTAATATTGCAATTTTTTGAATAGAATAACATAAAATAAAGAGTGAAGGTTCGTCGTTGCATCCATTTCAATGGCATACATAAATGGAAAACGGTAACATTCTCAATTTAGCTGTCAAATTACTACATTTTATCATCGACCATTGTGATACAGAGACAATTCTTTCAGTTCGTTGTGTGTGCAAACAGCTTTATGTAGCCAGCAACACATACAATCGATTTCGAATTTTCTTCAATTCAAACTCAAAGTCTTATTTCAAACTTTTCAATCATTCCGAGATACTTACTGAGAAAATCAAATTACAATATTTCTATCTGAAATCTTGTTCATAGATAGATCTAATGGTCCTTAGAATATTCTGAAAGTTTCAACCAAAAAGAATGTTCCTTTCTCGACATGTGATTCCCTCGTTGTCACTATCAGGTTTAATAATGTCATTCAAATGATCAATAATCTAATTCAAATATAGTACAACGGATTTTTTACATTTTCAATCAAGAATTCTTGCTTATGATAAATGGATTCATTAGCTTCTAATCTGAAGGACTTATATTTATATATTTTTCTTTTTAATAAATATTAAAACAATTCAAAATGGATTTATTCAGAGCTTCGAAATGTCGTCTTATCTCTTCAGGAAGTATTGATCGATGTTTTTAGTAATCAAGTAGAACTTACAATGAAAAATCTGCATTATTTTAATTTCTTTTCTTGAGAATTGTATATTTTCTAGATAGGTGAATCATCTTTTTCTTTCTCTTAGATTTTTTCCAGCTTATCATTGTATTAGTCAAAACGTTGTCCTTGTGACGTACGAAAATAAGCTGAAAAAAACCTACTCAGTGAAAAATAGTCGATTATAATCTAATCGCAACCAATTTGATGCAATTGTATCAGATTAGAGTCGAAATATTTTTCACCAGATAGGTTTTTTCCAGCTTATCATCATATTACTCATAACTTCTTCCATGAGACGTAATTACAATATAGAATGCCACGTACGAGAATAAGCTGGAAAAATCCAAGAGAAAGAAAAATATGATTCACTTATCTAATAGATAAGTATATATATATATATATAGACAGGATTGGATGAAAGAATAAAACACACTATTTTCTTACAAACGATAAACACATATTATACATATGGCATCCAATATGGACCGAGGTCTGCCTTCAGGCGCCTCCAACTCGCTCAGATTGAACAACACGGTTCATCCAAATATTGAACAATGGCGTGGTCCCATCGAATCAGCTGCTCAGACAACAGGCGTTCCTGCATCGGTGATCGGTGGTGTAATGTATCAAGAATCACGTGGATATGACAATGTTAATACTACACAAAATCAACAGCGAGGACGCGATGCAGGACTCATGCAAGTCAATGATGCAACATTGGTAGATATGAGACAAAAGCATTCGCATGAATTCGCGGGGAAAAGTGGTCATGAAGAAAATATCTTGGCCGGTGCTTACTACTTGAAAGAGAATTACGACACATTTGGTCGTTGGGACCTTGCAAGACGTGGATACAACTCGGGTCCACAAGCTGTAGACCGTACCAACGCTCACAATATCAACCCTCAATACCCGGATGGAGATCGTGATTATATTCAACACACAGATGAATTCATAGACGCACTCTCCAACGGAAAACCATTGCGTCCATGATATGAATCGACTAAAGGTGAAAATGTGACATTGCAATTTACATTTTTTTCTCAAATTTTGTTACTGATTTGAATGGATTGAACTATTGAAAATAAATCTTGAACCACTGAAATTAAATATCGAATTATTGAAATATTATTGTATTTTTTAGTTAGAATCCCTGCCAATAATCATATTCTCTCTGATGATATCGCCTTTTCCTCCTTCCTCTCATTCTTACTTTCTTTCTCTATCTTACAATATTATTACAACAAAATGCGAGTGGCTTTTTTTCATTTCATTGTTTTGATTAATATTAAACTTTCTACTTTTTATCATATTTTATATTGAAGTACTTCTTGGATTAGACAAATCTATAGACAACTTGTGCTATGTAGATATAGAATTATATTAAATTGATATTGTGTACTATTAATACATGAGTGGAAAATCCAAAATGGTATCAGACTTTACAAACACGCACTGTAGTTATAACTCATGAAATGATGACGTAGGTGAGGTTATTAGCCCAAGATTCGAGTAAAAATAGCCCAAATTCACAGAAGAAAATGTTGCAATACTCCTATTCTTGTTTCAAGTACAACTCGATGAGTTCTATCCAATGGTATAATCAGATTTCCCATAGCTGAGACTATGTGGTTTCAAATCCCCAAATATCGGTGTTTCATTTTAGAAATCCGAACTTCTATAATAAAAGTAGTTGAGATTCGTCTAAGAACATGTTCCAATACTCCTATTCTTGTTCCAAGTACAACTCGATGAGTTCTATCCAATGATATAATCAAATTTCCCATAGCTGAAACTATGTGTTTTAAAATTCCCCAAATATCGGTATTTCCAAGGGGGAAACGGCGGATTTCGTAGTTTACGGATTTTCAAGATTTCACTGGGATTTATAAACCACTGTTTTCAAGGAGGAAACAGCGGATTTTCGGGATTGCCAATCCTTGAAAATCCCCAAAATCCGAGAAAAATCTCAGAAATCGCAAAATTACGGATCGTATAAATGTATGAAATGTCCTGATAACACGAATCTTTCTCTGGCATAGAGGTTTTTAAATTGAAACTAAATCTGTTGAAAAAATAGCGCAACTATATGAGATATTAACGTAGCTTTTAAATTGTGCGGGTGAGGAGTAATGCTCTCGATATTATTGAAATTGAGATGATTGGGGATATTTTTGTGAGAAACGAGTGAACTCAAAATAATCGTATGCTTCATGAAGATAGTCGAAAATGACTACTTTCTTCATAGCAGAAGTGGATACCATCTTGATGAAATGATAATAGTTTATTGTGAACCTCAATGCGTGTCCTATAGTTCTGATCGTGAGATGTTCTGTATATGTCAAGCATTGATTCTTTTTCTTAATCAAATCTGTTTAATGTTTGATGTCTAACGAGTGATTATAGTTTGTAATCACACGAACAGAGAAAATAAACGTAAATTTGTGAGTTCCAAATTACGATCTCTGAGTTAACAGTTGGGCTGAATTCTGACCGGAATTAGGGAACTATGTGCATTTTTGATATAGTTACCCATAGTTATTACCAGAGGTGCAGAATCTGCCGTAAAAAGCAAAAATTTCCCCACCGTTAAAATTTTTTTCGAGAAATTTCCCCAGCTAGAAAAATCAAAAAAACACATCAAAATCAGAACAAAACAACAAATGAAGCATTATACCAGAAGAGCAGAGTGCGAAAGATATCTCATACACATACCACTGACATACACTCACGCGCGCGGAGCAACAAAACAGAACACATGGAACTGAGAGAAAGAGAAAAACTAAGCACGAGGAAAGAGAAACAGGACAAAAAGAAAGAAATAGTTAATAACACAAAAGCAAGAAGCTCATAGGTAGAGACATTACAGCTTGTGATCTTTTTCAAATGGAAAAAAGTTATTTTTCGAAACGTTCCCAGACTCAAAAATTTTCCGAAATTTCCCCAGATCTAACAAATTTCCCCCACCGCGCGGTGCCGCACACGGGTAGATTCTGTACCTCTGGTTATTACATCTGAATAAGTCTCCAAAATCGAAATAAATATATTAACAAGCTCAGTATTAGACAAAAATTCGTGTTATGAAGACATTCCATACATTTATACGATGCGTAATTTTGGTATTTTCAAGGATTGGCAATCCCGAAAATCCTCCGTTTCCTCCTTAATGTCAGCCTATTTATTCATATATCAAATGCGACAATAATCCAAAACATGGACACTATATTCCATCCGATACTAATATACAAAATTTGATCGATCGATTCGATAAAGGAACCGCAGGTGATCATCTTAAATATATTGCATACAAATCAGATATGAACAAATTGAGTTTATGTATTCATTTTACTGGCAATCATTATGATGCTCTCTAACCCTTTCGAATTAATCCTCAACAATTTATACACTGTAGATAAGTTCCAATATGCCTAGTACACTACATATTGGCAACTTCCCTGACAACAATCCAGGACATATTCGTTGGTCTTTCCCAACTATACATTTCATATGTATATCGTATATACATATGGATTCATCCATTTCTCTCATGTAGGTTGGTTTATTCCTTCCTCTCTATCCTATATATACATATGTATGCGTCTATACGTGTGTGTATTAGTACGTTCTCTTTCTCTTCTTGTTCTTCTTTCATTTCACTTGTTGTTCTTGTATTCTCCGTTGTTTCTCTTCTTCTTCTTCTTCTTCTATATCCACGCTTAGTTAATAAACATCTTATTAACAATACATATTTACATACACCAACATGACTTAATTAATATGAGTTAATAAAATGAAGGAAGGTTCCATAAACTACCAGAATAATTAATTAAAATAAACAAATTTTCATTTATCCAAATAAATAAAGGCTCCGGAACTAACTCCTCGCCGTATCTTACGGGACAAAAAGAGAACATCTGCAGGGCCTAGGGGACAGTTTCTTAGTGCGCCCAATGATGATTTTTTTTCTACACAGTTTGATGAAAATCTATCTATCATCAATTATTTTTACTTTTTAAATATTAAAAAAATCGAGTCTTAGGAAAAACAGCTTGCTAGGATAATCTTGATGTCTAGACATACTATGATGACTCGTTACTTTTTGAAGTACACATAACACTCGGATTTTAATCCGAGGTTTCCACATTTACTTTTACACTAGTCGTTTGTGCTATTCAAAGCATATTATTGTGGACATTCGATAAAGATTCTATATCAATGATCGTGGACACACAACATGAAGAATTATATCTCTCCTACTTTCATATTTCTATTAACTCATTATCAACACCTCACCCATCTAAAAACTTGATAAAAGTAAGAAATCACGATCTCTACCCCACCCTCACGAATGCAAGCCCACGGGGTCTCAAAACTGTCCAAGTGTTCACATTTTTTATGAGCGGCTTCTATTAGGTGCCAAACTTTTGCGATGGTTTCGGGTGCAAAAATTGCTCAAAAGACTTCAGAGATTTTCAGAGTTTATAAGAGTTGCTCAGACAATTATCAAGGGGATTTTGAGATTTTCATGCTGGTAAACAAAGATTGAACAAATTTTTTCTTGAAATCTCGAAATTTTGACAGCTCTACTATGAAAATAGTGAAAACAATTTTCAAAAATTAAAATTTTGTTTTAAATGAGGGACTTCTAATAAATTTTTCACATCGCCCATTTTATAGGAAGCTTCTAATAGGGAGAGGGTTTTTTAATATGGGAGGAGCTTCTATTACCAGAGGAGTTTATTATGAGTAACTCTTTAAAAAATCATACATAGCAGTACAATACTTTAATCGGACTTCAACAAAAAAAAACTGGAAGTGTTTTTTTTTGGTGGCGTGTATCGCGAGAAATAGTGGATGCCGATGTAGGAATAGTAGGACACGACAGGTCTGATATCAATGTCACAGACGTACAAGATCCACCACACGAACGAATTACTGTTCGGCCCATAAAGGAAGTGATATGGAGGCCTAGAACGATTATAAGTCTTGGTGTTGTTCCGCAAACAATTGATAAGACGTGGACAATCGCCGGTCGTATTACATAAAAGCCATTGACGTCCCTCATGTTCCCAATTGAGTTCTTTGACCGAAGCCCAAGAAATTCCACCACTAGCGAATTTCGTCCCAATGTGTCCACCTTCGACTAGACCGAAGTCGGTTCGATTCTTGAAAAAGTTAATGTATAAATGATAAAAACCGAATAGGTAGAATATTCGATCTGCCATACACTCATTGCCACCCATACGCCGTGCGCCCAGAATTACAGTACAGGCGTTGAGGTGCACTGGCGGCTTGAGACCATCTAGTACTGACAACGGCGTCAATGCGGAACTGATTTCATTTGTCGTTCGATGATGTATTGCTAACACGACAATCAAGAGAAGAAGGCTGGTTAGAAGTCGACTCGTTTTCTTTGACATCAGTATTAATATCTAAAAATGGAGCTTACTAGTGGAAAAACACGGATATTAATAAAATACTGCATCACACATTTCATCCGGAAAATGATATGGGTTTCGTTCATCCATTGGAGCTTGAAAAACTGCATCTGCTGACATCAACTGCCATATAATATTTAAAACATATCGCACAGGCTAACGGTATTTACGTACCCTTATTTTACTCATTGCCATCCACGATGCAGTCTGATCTCCTTTTATGAAACACAATCTAAAAGCTGTTAGCTCAATCCCAGCGGACTGAAAACATAAAACACGATGAACCAGTGTATATTGTAAATAACGGATTCTGTGACATATGATCCGGTTCACAAGTTCCTACTTACTGCTAATGTATGTCTGTAATGAAAGGCGTTATTCTTCGTAGTGATCTTTGATCAGTTGTTTCCAGGATGTCTGTCACAGTCTGTGATTTGAGGGGGACGACTTTGCTAAGGTATCTGCCACGGTCTGTGACATTTCCACGATGATGTCTTTCACGGTCTGTGGGAGGGACAAGGGAGGGTGGTTGGGTGTAAATATCTACTCTACCCC